GTATATACTCATATATATGAGAGTAGACTGAATTTTTGCGGCTTTTTTTGCTGCTTGCAATATTATATATATGCACATGTATACACACACCTTAATTTGCTATAATTTGTACCAGATAGCTTTTATTTCCTCTGAGTAAAAAGGTTATTATCTTGTTTTATTTTAATTCAGCTTCTTGCTTTTCCCTATAGAAAATCAGGTTTTTGGAGAGCTCTAACAGTGTGCAGTTGCTGGGCTCTTATCCTTTCTGTTTAAATAATGCAGGTACTTTGATGGAAACCTGGAGAAGCTCTTTGCTGAGTGTCATGTAATTAATCCAAGTAAAAAGTCTCGAACACGCCAGATGAATACAAGGTCATCAGCACAGGATATGCCTTGTCAGATCTGCTACTTGAACTACCCTAACTCGGTGAGTATCTGGTAGTTTAAGGCTAGTGCTGACTTTGTATTTCAGAGGGTAAATCAACTTCCATTATTTAGACAAAGGAAAATCTGTGGGACTTTGAGTAGTAGCCTCTAAGCCATAACCTATCAATGTATTCAGTGTGAGGAAAGGAAGGAAAAGAGTAAGAGCTTGGTTCCTCTTCCCTCCAACCCCTATTTGTTTTTTAAAGCAGCAACAACTTATCCAAGTTGTCATTTATAGACCTAAATCTTTCTGGAGTTTATTTTATCACTACGGGGAGAATTGTGTAATAGGTAGGCAGTGAGTAGAATTGTTTCTTATCCAAATTAAAATAGATTTAAACTGTATTTTTTAAATATCCAGAAACACTCATAAATATTGTTAATACTATTTGCTAGGGAACTCTCAGAATTCTTCAAAAGATGAAATTTTCACTTAATCAAATCCATTCAAATGGAGATTGTTAAATATGGTATGTGGGGACAGAGTTGGAACAGAACCAGCGATAAGGAAGACAACCAAATAACTGATGTTAATCCTAAGTACAAATATCCTTCCTAAACATTTATTGAACTGAAGCTGGGCTCAGTGGCTCATGCCTATAATCCCAGCACTTGGGGAGGCCAAGGCAGGCAGATCACTTGAGGCCAGGAGTTTGAGACCGTCCTGGCCAACATGGTGAAAACCTGTCTCAACTAAAAATACAAAAAAAGTACCCTGCCGTGATGGTGCGTGTCTATAATCCCAGCTACTTGGGAGGCTGAGGCGTGAGAATTGCTGCCTGGAAGGCAGAGGCTGCAGTGAGCTGACATCGTGCCACTGTATTCCAGCTTGGGTGACAGAGTGAGACTCCGTCTCAAAATATAAAATAAAATTTACTGAACTGAGATGATTTACTTACTTGATGCTTTACTTGAGTGTTTACTAAGGAAGTTTAGTCTTAAGATGTCTTAAGATATCTAAGAGATAACTTAATTCCATGATAATTACAACTGTCTTGTTCATGTTCTCTGCTTTAATTGTTAAGTAGCTCTTTCTAATAATTACTGTATACCAAGTCTTAGACGCTGTTATTTTCACAATTAATCCGTTAATGGGGTCTCACTATGCCACCCAGGCTGGAGTGTTATGGCTATTCACAGGTATAGTCATAGTGTACTACAGCCTTTATCAGACTCTTAAGTTCAAGTGTTCCTCCTCCCTCAGCCTCCCAAGTAGCTGGAATTACAGGCATGCACCATCAAGCCTGGCTAATATTTATTTATATTGAAGGATTTTTATTGTTTATCTTAGAGTTGTATATGTGTATCTCTAATGGGGTCCATTTGCGGGAAGTTAACTTGTTCATATGTACAAGTGATGAGAAAAGTTTTAAAAGAAAATTAAGTACTCTTAGAGAAATAGAATGATCAGTGAGTTATTTAGTAGGTAAAGTGGTGAACTGAATTTTCAAATTCTCAAGTTCTGATCATAACTCTAACATGAAATTTTTGGCTTTAGGGGGAAGTAAGCCATTTAATGTCACTGGATTTTTCTTTTTTCTTTTCATTCTTTCTTTCGAGATGACCTTGCTCTGTTGTCCAGGCTGGAGTGCAGTGATGTGATCACTGCAGCCTCAAACTCTGGGACCACAGGCGCATGCCACCATGTCTGGCTGATTTTTCTGGGGTGTGTGTGTGTGTGTGTGTGTGTGTGTGTGTGTGTGTGTGTGTGTTTTGTTTTGTTTTGTTTTGTTTTTTGTAGAGACAGGGTTTTACCGTGTTGCCCAGGCTGGTCTGGAACTTCTCTGAGCTTAAGGAGTCTGCCCACCTGGCCTCTGAAAGTGCTGGCATTATAGGTGTGAGCCGCCGTGCTCCTCCAGTTTTTTTTTTTTTTTTTTTTGAGAGGGAGTCTCGCTCTGTCACCCAGACTGGAGTGCAGTGGTGCGATCTCGGCTCACTGCAAGCTTCACCTCCTGGGTTCACGCCATTCTCCTGCCTTAGCCTCCTGAGTAGTTGGGACTACAGGCGCCTGCCATCAAGCCCGGCTAATTTTTTGCATTTTTAGTAGAGACGGGGTTTCACCATGTTAGCCAGGATGATCTTGATCTCCTGACGTCGTGTTCCACCTGCCTCAGCCTCCCAAAGTGCTGGGAGTACAGGCGTGAGCCACCGCGCCTGGCCTCTTTTCTTTTCTTTCTTTGTTTTCTTTGGCATGAGTTTTGCTCTTGTTGCCCAGACTGGAGTGCAATGTTAGTCTTGGCTCACTGCAGCCTCCGCCTCCCAGGTTCAAGTGATTCTCCTGCCTCAGCCTCCCGAGTAGCTGGGACTACAGGCGCCCGCTGCCACACCTGGCTAATTTTTTATTTTTAGTAGAGTTGGGGTTTCACCATATTGGCCAGCCTGGTCTTGAACTCCTGACCTCAGGTGATCCACCCACCTTAGCCTCCCACAGAGCTGGGATTACAGGTGTAAGCCACCGCACCCAGCAGTTTCTTTTTCTTTCTGAGTTAAATAAGATATTCTTTCAATTTTCTTCCAGCCTGAAAACTGTATCATTTCTCTTACCTTAAATCACAATTCTAATTTGAATATTTAAAAAAAGTACTACTGTTACAATATATTAAATTCATATTTTGACTATCTTATTGTCTTAAACAGATTCTCTTTGCCAGTTGAGTTTTACGTAGTGCTTACAATTAAATGCTTCTGTGAGGTAATACTAAGACCCAGGTTTTACAAGATTTCCTTACTTCTTGGTGTTTTTCCTCCTGTTCTATCATAGCCAGTTCCTTCTTAATTTAAATCTTAACTCTGATTTGAGTACTGAAGCTAGCTGCTTACAAATATGCACTGTAACTTTCTCACTGTTCTTGGTATTGTCTAACAGTCTCAACAAACTAGAATTCAAAATCATGACTTGAGATTTACAGTGTAAATTTTTGTTTTGTACTTGTAACTGATGATGGAGAACTTATTCATTGAACACACTAGGCACTATTCTAAGAAACAATGGAGAATAAATACATAATTCCTAACTTCAAATAATTTACGGGTTAGTTGGGTAGATAAGTAGTAAGGTGACATATTCAGAAAGAATGGTAAGTGCCTTGGCAGGGCAAATATAAGATACGATACTGTGGGAACATGTTGGAGGGATACCTAACCCAGTTTTTGATCAGGGAGGACTCACCACAGAAATTCACAGAAATTGGAGCTAACATCTGAAGGCATGGTAGTTAGGCTAACCAGGAAAATGTAGCAATACAGAATCCAAAGGAGGAGAGAATGTACTTTCAAGAACTGGGGGATGGTAAATAGTACTAAAAGGTCCGGGCGCGGTGGCTCACGCCTGTAATCCCAGCACTTTGGGAGGCCGAGGTGGGCGGATCACAAGGTCAGGAGATCGAGACCACGGTGAAACCCCATCTCTACTAAAAATACAAAAAATTAGCCAGGCGTGGTGGCCGGCGCCTGTAGTCCCAGATACTCAGGAGGCTGAGGCAGGAGAATGGCGTGAACCTGGGAGGTGGAGCTTGCAGCGAGCCGAGATCGCGCCACTGCACTCCAGCCTGGGCGACAGAGCAAGACTCTGTCTCCAAAAAAATAAAAAAAAAATAAATAGTACTAAAAGGTTCAGAGAAAAGATTTAAAAAGTTAATTTGAAATGAAGTGAAGGAGTGAGGTAGAATGAGAAACCAAACTTCATGGGCTAAAGAATCATTGACTTGAAGGTGGGAAAGGAAATGGAAGCAATAAATGTAAACAAATTACTCTTTTACAAGAAATTTTCCCATGCAAGTGATAGGACAAGATAGCAAAAGGAACAACATGGGTTGGCAAGTAAGTTTAAAGCACTGTGGAAACTGCTAAGTGTTCCGAA